CATTGCTGGATTGAACACTGTGCCTGTGATAGGGCCATTGCTGGATTGAACACTGTGCCTGTGATAGGGCCATTGCTGGATTGAACACTGTGCCTGTGATAGGGGCACTGCTGGATTGAATCACAGAGTTGGCAGAGTGATGTCACCGTTGGGCCCCTGAGCGAGGCCCTTAACCCTCAATTGCTCAGAGGATTGTCTGATCCTTCTTTCGCCAAAAAAAAAAAAATTGATAAAAGTTTGTCATTTTGGGTAAAAGTTATTTGTGAGTGAGAGAGTAACAGCGTACTGCTTGGAGGGTCGAGTTTCCGCTGCCTTTTCCCTGCTTCTCATTGGCTGTCTGTCCCTCCCCCTTCCCCCCCCCAGATGTGTCTCCCGTGCTGGCAGGCTTCATTGGGGCCGGCGTCCTGGTGGCGGTGGTGGCCGGTGCCATCTTCCTGTGGACCTTCTGCCATCGGCGCTATCGGCGTCTGACCGGCAGCTACAAGATCCATGGCGGCCACTCGGACGCCTGCGACGCCGCACCCGACCCCCCCTACAAGTTCATCCACATGCTCAAGGGCATCAGCATCTACCCAGAGTCACTTAGCAACAGCAAGAAAATAGTGCGGGTGGGCCGGCGCCCCGGAGACCGGGGGGAGCGGGCCGGGGAATGGGGGCGGCCCGGCAGCACCCACGGGGGTAACGGTAACGTGCTCCTGGTGGATGCGGCCGAGAGTGGCCTGCTCGATGGCGCCGCCCTGCAGATGAACCGACTGGTCCCCAGCGAACAGCCCCGGCTGGAGAGGGAACTGCCCATCCGGGCCGACTACTGCAGCCTGGACAGCAGCAGCTCAGCTAGCAGCAGCTCAGCCAGCAGCAAGACGGCCACGCCCTTCACGCCGGCAGAGGAGCCCAAACTGGGCACGCTCAGTCTGGTCGTGGACTATAACTTCCCCAAGAAGGCGCTGGTGGTCACCATCCAAGAAGCGCGTGGGCTCCCTCCAGTAGGCGAGCAGGCGGGCAATGCCGACCCCTACGTCAAGATGACCATCCTGCCCGAGAAGAAGCACCGCGTCAAGACCCGTGTGCTGCGCAAGACCCTGGATCCCGTCTTCGACGAGACGTTCACCTTTTACGGCGTGCCCTACAGTGGCCTCTCTGAGCTGGTGCTGCACTTCCTGGTGCTCAGCTTTGACCGCTTCTCCCGTGATGACGTCATCGGCGAGGCTGTGGTGCCCCTGGCTGGCGTGGACCCCAGCACCGGGCGTGTGCAGCTCACCCAGCAGATCTGCAAGAGGAACATACAGGTACGAGATACACCGGCCAGCAGGGGGCGCCGGAGTGACACACTTACATACTGGCGGGTGGCCTGAGAGTTGTGCAGGAAGGGAGGGTGTGTGTGTGTGTGTGTGTGTGTGTGTGTGACATACAGCCCCCCGGGGTAGTGCTGGAGATTATACTTCTGTTGATGTACTGATGGCTACCTTCGCGTAGACACAGATGCGCTGAGAGACATAGACTGTTGATACGGCAGATGGATCGACGCACAGCTCTGAGGAGAGCCCAGCTGCTGCTGACTGGCTTCAGCAGAAATACACACATACACACACACACACACATACACACACAGCCACACACACAAGATTGCAATTATATCTTTCTGGGGACTCTCCATTCATTTCTCTGCAGAAAACTCTATTTCCAACATTACGACCTTAACCTCTACAACTGCCCTAACCCTAACCCTAACCCTAACCCTAACCATAAGTGACCAAACAAAATCCCATCCACTTAAGAGTGGTCAGCAGGAGCCCAATGTGACCTGCATCCATAAGGATGCTTTGATCAATGCCAGGCCTAAAATAGAGATCTTGTTGTAATATTACTACCTCTGTCCTGGTGCTACTGCAAGTCCCCTATCAGCATCATCAGCAGAAAGCCCCCCCCCCCAGTAAAGATGCCAGGATTCTCTGATTGTGGTCTTCGAAACCCCCTGTGACTTCCTGTATAATGACATTCCGGGTGGTTCCTCGCAGAAGCAGCATGTTTACAGCCTCGCTGTGTTCCTTACGGATTGTTGACATAATTGGCTTCTGTCTGCAGTGTGAAAGTCTTCAGTGTCACTGACAACAGACGCTTCTCTAGTGGAAAATTACAAAAGCACGTCACAGTCGAGGTGTCTTTGGATGAAATAGGGGACGTCTTTGAATATACCAAGGGAACAAACATTCCATTCTAAATACAAGCACAAAAAAATCAAGGCGTGTTAATACCTAAGCTGCTTTGATGTGTGTAAATGATACACTTTGAAGTCTTGGCCGTATATAGCCCCCATACTGATGCATATTGTGAACTCGATGGAAAGCACAGTCTGGGTCTTCGAAAGGAGGCGATAAGATGTGGATAAAATGTCCCTGAGTTTTACCGGGTAAGCCACAGAGTACAGGGGGGGTCTGTATGTTGCCATGGTGATGCATGCTCTGACACAGTGAGGAGCGGAGAGGCTGATAGACTAATAAGTTTGAGAGGCTGGAGAAGTTTGCAGAAAGGCAGCCGTGTCTCCTGTGGCACCATGTCTGTGTGATGATGAACGTCTCGCTTAAGGTAGGAGATCAGGCATCAATTATTAACGTGCAGGATGGTAATGATGTCCTAGTGGGTATGACACTAATATTTCAGCTTAGCTATCGTCTTGAAGCTCATTCCTGGGTCATAATAGGACATTTTAATGCAGTAATATTCCATATATTAATGTCAGTCACGCTGCTGAGGTAACCTGGCTAACATTTTATTCTTTGACTGACTTTTTGACTATGGTGGTTGTAAAATTAAGAGACCACCCCATATAAAAAAAAACTGCATTTTTAAATCCAGGTTTATTCCCAGTTCTGCTGGCAGAGGCTACATCGAGCAGCAGGCTGCTTCCAGGCTCAAAGTTTCTAAGAGAGCAGAACGCTAAAACAAGGTGGAACAGGAGACACTGGGAACAACCAAAAACCAGTCAGGTAGAGGATGGAAGTGACTTTCTGTTGCCAGAGATGATTGTCAACTTATCCGACAGTTTCTCATGAATCCTAGGATGACATCAAGTGACCTTCAAAAGGAATGGGACACATTAAGTGGAGGTGTGAAGTGCACTGCTAGGACAGGATCGTATCAGGCTCCTAGAAGCAGGACTAAAGTCCCATAAAGCGAGGAAGAAGCCCTTCAGTAATGAGAAACAGAGAAGAACCAGGATACAGTTTGCATATATATATATATATATGTATACACACACACACACACACACACACACACATATTATTCCAAGACACACCTATAAACTGAGAAATTTGGACAGAAAGGAATTTGGACAGAACCATTCTAGGTTGCACAGATCATATGGTGCCTGTTGTTGATTTTTAGGTTTTATGGCAATAGAATTTTCACCTTTTCTTCCAGATCTATACTTCACACCCCTTGTATTTCACAGCAAGTTCTACTTTAGTCCTGCTAACTGCATCCAAATTTCAAATGTTGTAACAAAATAAAAATTCTTTACATTCAGTCTCTTGCCTTGACTGCACCAATCCGTGGGATCAATAGCTGCAGGATGTTCTGCCAATAAGATTAGGAAGCTAAACATCGGGCACTATGGAACTATGACAGATGGATCAATGTCTGGGCAGGGACTGGCCAAAGAGCAGTGTCAATCAAGTGTATCAACCAATGAAATCGCATCAGTCTCCGGTCCTTAGCTGCACAGTGTTCTATATATAAAAGCAGGATGCCACCCTTGGTTAAGCATTGGGTACTGGCTGCTGCCAGGACTATAGCTGTGAGAGACCAATAGGTGACTTTCCAAATGTACAGGCATTTGCCAGAAATCTGTGTAAATCAGGCATGTGTCGAAATCTGGGATGACAGTTGGGGGAGGTGGTTCCGTAGATAGGAACTGGCTTCAGATCAGCATGATGGGTCAGAATTGGCCTTAGCGATTCAGTCAGAAATCAGTGTGAAGGACAGGAAGGAGGTCACTGCAAGACTGAACCCTGCTGCAGTGCCACTTCGGCGACTTCCATAGCAAAAATTAACACTGCTAGTTCAGCACTTACTACCAAGTTACCCTCTGGCTCAAACATTTAACGTAATGATTGCAGCCCATGCTAATGGTATATTATCAAGCCTAAGGAAGTACCAGGGGGCCAGTGACCCCAAGATGGAAAATGGACTGCATTTATATAGCGCTTTTCTACTCCTACGAGTACTCAAAGCGCTTTACAAT